AAAGAACAAATAATAAAGTTCTTAAGCGATGAAGTTACAAGTAATTAAATCACTTCATAAAACAAGTACACCTTGTTTGCAAATATATTTCATTATAGAACAGCATGTTAAATAAAACTATAAATTGTTAAGCTTCACTTAACTAAACTTAACTTATACTTACACTTAACTTTATTCAAAATATTTTAAAGAAGCCAAAAAATTGGCTCTAAATTTTCTCAACTCATTTATCAGGCTCTCTTTTATATAATTTTGTTTTTAACCCACTTTTCACTGTCAAAGCAGAGGAATTAGCTAATGCAGCTGTCGAGATTGACTTGGTGCAGCCCTGTTAACTTTTGTTTGTTTGCTGCGAAGACTTTGAAAAGCTTTTGGCCACGCTCACAGAGCAACAACAACACCAAAGCAGCAAGTGCAACAATGTCAATGCACTGTTCGGCTGATAAGAAGTGCAGCTGAAAGTTTAGGGTTTCTGCTTCTATTTCTGCTGGTTGTTCTGCTGGCTGTTCCGCTGCCACGAACATCCAACTCAAGGTAAACAAGCGGGCTCCCACCGACTTGTTGCTATCTTCTATCTTTCTTTGGCAGTCGCGATTTGGCTGGGTGTCGTTAAATTATTTTCTTTACTGCTGCCGCATGCTCTATATATTGCTTTCTGATGACACAGCCGCGCCGATAAGGAAAGCAGCTCCGCGAAAAGCTGAGCCAGCGCGAAGTGCAACTTGAGGCGCCTGCGGAGGCGTCGGGTTTCCGCTTCGATCCGAGCTATTGACTATATATATTCCCTTCAATTCCTTCTTTTTCGATTTCCGCAAAGTCGGCACTTCCAAAGGTGAATCTGGGACTGTCAGATACAGAAGTTAATCACTTGGCGATCTCCGACGCTCTTTTCTCGCTGACACACGAAAACATCGTCGGTGACTCATGACTCCAGAGAGTGTGGTCTTTATTGTTTATTCAGAGATATCTCTTCGAACTCATGCTGCAAATATGCCGCTTAGCTGCCTCTTGAGGCTTTCAATTTTTAAGTACGGTAAAGTTATCTCTTAGTTTTCAGCACTTTAATTAGATCAACTATGACTCTTTGTATACCAGAGCTTTAAAGCTGGGAAGAATACAAATGAGTAAAAGGGTGCAAGTTCTGTGGGTTTCATTATAATCACTATTACCGAAGGTTATTAATCACAGAAACTCACATCGCTAAAACTTGAATTTTTGGTATGTAGAAATTTACTAATGCTTAACGTCTGAAAATTTGGGGGCTATCAGTAAAGCCATCGATGAGTTACAATGGTGCTATTATCATACCAACACCCAACGGGCTTTACAATTCGGCATGCAGCTGTTTGACCATGCTATCTACTAATTTTATGAGTTTGCTGACTTGAGTACAGCTAAGATAACACTGATAGTTAAATGCCATTCAAGTGGGTTTTGGCCATTACTCACCAATAGCAACCAACAAAAAACCTATTGCAACCCCATTTGTCAAAATAAATCCAGAGTTCTTTCGGCACTGGCCCACTAAAAAGTATCGCAATCTATCGGTTGTGCCAGTTTGATAACATTCGACTGAGGGCAAACTAAGTTACACATAGGTAAGGTTATGAACTCGGGTTTTCCAGAAGCGATCCGCCATTAGTTCGGTCTATAAATAGCCAGCAAATGCATTTGGACATAAATTTCACCAATGCAGCATATCGTATAATGCTCGACTTAATTACACATGGGGGTAGGAATGCCATAGAGCGAGAGGGTGCAGGGGTGCAGACAGCTGGCAGACGACGCGACTCACAGTGGCACAAATGCACTTAAGTTTTCTTCGCTCTGGGCTCTGCTTTTTCGGGGAGGAAGTCGTGGCATAAGGCACACATCACTGCCGCCGAACAGAGAGGGGATTCAGGGCAGCCAGTACTGCTGAATGGTACTGAATGCGATTGAGCAACGGTAGCTGGCACTCAGTTATGATTGCAGTACCTACTCGATATGCAGAGTCCTTACAAATTATCCTTTATGGAACGAAGACATGCAACATTCTGAAAATTAATTGTATTTAATAGAGAACTTTCCGATGTGACTCTCATGATTGTTATGTTAAATGGTAATAAGGGTTTGATGGACTATGATCTTATCTTCTCTCATGTTAATACTTTTTAAAAAAGTAAAGATTCTTATACCGAAATGCCAATCCAATAATTACATCACTTCCCTTCAGGTAAATCTCAGCAGCTGCAACCCTTAGCGAGTGCTCACTGTTAGGCAATTGCAGACTAGCTCGCGCCAAAGCCTGGCAGCTGTTGCCTAGAATTCGGGACTCAGTCTGAGGCCTTCTCAGTCTCGGAATCCAAATCTGAATCAGAATCCTTCGCAGACGCAGACGAAGGACTCATTCGCCTGCTCAGTCAATGCTCATTCAGCTCTGGGGATAATTGCTGCCAAACGAAGTGACATTTCTCCCTGACAATCCTTTGTGCCGCTGCCTGGGATTTGGACTCATTCTTCTCCGTCATCTGCAGTCGTTGTTGTTGTTGTTGTTCATGTAGTGGTAGTTATTGTTATTGTTGTATTTGTAGTTGTAGTTGCAGTCATAGTTGTACTTACAGTTGTTGTTGCTGTCATGCCGTGCAAATTCAGGCAGCTCGACAAACAGACCTAAAGACAGACACAATTTATGTTTGTCGAGCGGTGACGAAGGAAGTGAAACTACACTGAGGGAAAATATTCCAAAAATTCAAAAATTGTCTGTCTGGAAAATAGTTTTCCCTTAAATACATATTATATGAAAAGTAAACTCATTTTGAACTCATGCCTATTGATTTCAGGTAGTGAGATATATTTGCATATTAGTTTTTATTTCAGTGCCTTTTTATGGCAGCTGTGCCGGCTGAACTCAGTTGAGCTGTGAGGCTCGTGCATTTCGTTAACGTGACAAAAATACATTGATTACATTTTTTAGCTGCACTCGACTCGGGATCTGCATCCTGGGCTCTAGGATTCTTGGAGCTGGGCACACGTCCGCACACTTGGCACATTTGTCAGGGCAGCACCGCCATGTAAACATCTTGCACGTAGGATCCGGGTCCTTGTGCATCCCGGTTACATGGTATACAAAATATGGAGTTCTCGTGTCGCCAGGGGTCTTTGAACTGACAAATTACATTGACAACGAATGGGGGAAATTCCATTCGTGTGCACTCTGAACTCCGTTTTGCCCCCCAAAAACTGTCTCTCTTTGTGAAGCTTCACACTGAAAAGTTTGGGGGTCAATGTCATGCCATTATGCCATCGAATCAATAAAAAAGTTAAACTTAGCTGTCAACAAACAAATATAATAAATAAACGTCAATAAAAAGCCAATTCGTTTTTAGTTTTAAAGTTGCTGAAAGCTTTTATCAAACTATTATTAGCCATATCCATTATTGTCGTGAATTTGTTTTCAGCTTTTTGTTTACAAGTTAAATTGAAAAGGAACATTTCATTTAATAGCTGTTAAATTATGCTTAAAGGTGTGAATGAAATGTGTTTATCGTGTTATACAATTTGTTTCCTCACTTTTAGAATTCCATGAATGGAATTCGTCTGTTATTTATTTCAGTGGACTTGGCTCATCAGTTGTTTTCGGTTTTAATTTGCTTACTTGGCTTTCTATCTCCTCCGCCCCCTTGACAGCTGTTTTATCTACTTTCGCAATTTGGAAATTGCTTCAAATTGGCAAAAAAGAGCAAATACAGCAAATACATCGTGGGTTCCTCTAAATTATTTTCACCGGCGAGTCGTCAGTGGGCGATCGATCTCTTAAGGCTTTAATAGTGTTTGCACCAATTGTTCAATTGCTTAATTGCTGTCGATGGCTCAAAATTCCATAGTTACAAAATCGAATTTGTGCCATATTTCCGTTTTATGGGCCTTGGGCGATCATGAATGGGTGGCTTTCTTATTTACTGGCCCTTTAAGTATAGGTAATCTTATCACCAGAAGTGTTCAAACTTGCGCAAGCTGACAAACAAATTTCGAAACGGAAATTCTTATGGGTTAAAAATAGTGTGAGCAAAAAGATAACTACTTTAATTTTGCGCCAAAAATTCGCATTGAATCACAGTAGCAATAACAAGAGAATCTAATTAAAAAACAAAATCTCAGGCAGCTGCGCATGCGTAGAAAATGAAAAGAGAGGGGGAGAGATCGCACCTTTGAGCCGCTGAACAGCTGTCTCAAAAGAGAGGGAGAGATACCGTATATAGAGAGTTGCATACTGAGAGAGTGGAGTGATAAGAAATAGCAACAAAAACATAAACCACCACCAACTACTACAACAACGAACGCGACAAAGCGAACAATGCTCTGTATTTATGGGAAGCGTGTGTACATTATGATTAAACAAGCAGCGAGAGAGAGGAGGAGGGTGAGAGATAGATATATATGTATAGAAAGTAGCCAGATCTAGTAGCTAGAAAAGCTAAAAATATTTGTATTATTTTTTAAAATAACAAAAAATATCTGATCGAAACGAAAATAAATTTGATTTTGTTGACATTTTCTTTAACTATTGGGAAAATAGTTCCTAATATTCAAAGTCCTTCCAATATATGTGATTACTACCACACATTTTAAAATACCCATATCCATTTTATAGCCAATCTGCCAGCACTGCCTACCTTACTCACCCAGGTAACTTGACTCCGGCTCTCTGGCTCTGGCTCTGGCTCTGGCTCACTCAGTCTCCCTCCCTCAGTATCGGCAGTCTATAGCCCATCGTTCATTCGATTCCCAGCACTCGAAGCACGCAGACGCAACCGCAACCGCTGCGATCGTTGCGAGTAATTCCTGTCCGTTTTTCGTGTTAATCGTCTTCGAACCTTTCGTGTTTAACGTGTTTGTTGAGTGTCGTCTTGTGTTTACCGTTGTGCAGTGTTAAACTATTTACGCTTGTGGGTGCCTCACCCCCAGCCACCCACTATACACCCGCTGTCAAGTTTTTGTGGTGACCAAAAATAATCAAATGACACGTGCTTGAAATATAAATTTTACTATCCATCAGTGGCAAGGAAAACAACAATAACAGAAGCCAAACTTGGGATTACCTCGGCATTGTTTATACAAGAAAACGGTAAGTTTTGGCCACCATAAACCAGAAGCCATAAACCGCATATGGAATGCCAGCAAAACAGATAACTGTTTATTGTCCCCTTTGACCCCAATAAGCTTATCAATAAACACAAATATTTAATTCGATTCCGCATACGCCCCTTGTAATTACACATGCTTTAATACACAAACCCGCCCATTTATTGAAGTCATAACGCATTGTTTTTATTTTTGGTTTTTTATACTCGAGGACTTTGCTAAGCTCGGTTTTATGACTCAGGAGCGTCTCAGAGTCGTCGGAGCGCAGAAATGATTTCGTTCTGTCGCCGTTTCGTTGTTTTTCGCTTTTTGTGCGGGTTTTCTCCGAATGTTCTTTATAACGTAGATCCCCTTCTGTGAGTCATCAATGAGCTTGGGGATACCGAGTGGATACACACACTGCGAGAGATATTTATAATTGGGGGAGGCAGTGGGTAAAGGTGACTGATCAGGCTGATGGTGAATGAAATGAAATGGAATGCTTGGGGTGGTGGTGACTAAGCTAAGGCTTTGGATAACACTCTGTGGGTTAGGTAAAGGAATATGGGTGTGTGATAGGTTGTGTTTACATAACGAGATACAAGGCAGTTGTGAATGAATTCCAAGAAATTATATTAAAGGTAGTCTGAAAATGATGATCATTTTATCAAAGTTAAATATCATATAATATAATAAAATAATAATTAATGTATATATCCCATTACTTTTTAAAATATGTGTTTTTAAAAACGATATTATTGTTAAAAAAAATGTATTAACATTGATTTCCTTGCTATCATAGCTTATACATTCAAGACACGAGCTTTCGCCAGTACGAATGAGCAATAAATACTACTACTAGTCACGCAGGAATTCCAGAATAATATAAACGCCAGATTTCAATCTCACCGCAATCTTCCATTGGCAGATTTCCCCAATCGCAGTTTAGCCAATCCTAATTGTTGTAATCAAGGGAAGACCGCATAATTGCACTGATCTAGTTCCAGTTTAAGAGCGTCTCTGCGGTTAGGAATCTGCGGCTGGGATGGCTCCATTAGAGTGCTAAACACAGGCCATCACACCGGTCATCGGGAGAGGTGTTATTATAGATGCCCCTGCCCCTGCCCTGACTAAGAAACCAGTCCGGGAGTCACTCACCTGTTGCCGCAAAGAGATCGATATCAATGACAATTGGTGTCGACGGCAACAGCAGCAGCAACCTACGTACATATATATGTATTTGATACAACTTTGATATGTCGCTACCGTTAGATGAGAAATGCCAGAGCAATGATGATTGTCTAATTAAATGGGATTAACGTTTAATTTGGCTTAGTTTATTGATTTTCCATTGAAGAACAATGAAATGTCAAAGAACACCGCAAACGGAGCAATTCGATTGAATTCGTAATCCATTCTCATTGTTTATGCTTTTTTTTGCGCAATTCAGATGTCAGGTTGACATTTTGCAACAATTGCTGGTTATATTTAACAGTTTATGGTTAGTGAGACTTGAATAATTGCACGCTTTTAATGGAAAATCAATTCAACTCGCTGGTTCCTTTTTTTACATAATTAAATGATTGTTTAAAACTGATTTATTATTTAATTGTTTGCCACTCGAACGACAACAATTAATTATGCAATAACAAAAAGATGGCAAATAAATAAATAATAATTTCATTATAATCAATGCAACAGCTGCCAGCGAGAGTGAAAGAGAGCTTAAGGGAGCGAGATGGGGGCGGCAAGCAATTAAAATTTATTACGCTTATTTTGCATTTATTCCATTTTAATTTGTCGTTTAAATGTCAAAACTATTAAAATAATTATGGCCAATGGCGGATTAATCAATGGGCGCTTTGGTTTGGCCTTTTCGAATCGATTTTGATCTGCTTCGGTCTTAACTTTCGGTTAATTAAGCATGGGGTTACGGAAGGGAGAAATTTACCTTTGCCCCCACCCCCAATGGCTTTCCAACTTTCCCCTCGTATGGCCTCGTGTTCAATTTGTTCGGCTGACCCCATTGGGCCAAGTTCAGTTAACACTTAACCACCCCGCATATTAACTTAATTATGATGATTAACATTTGCAGTGTAATTTCTGTTTTTCGTTCGCTTGAATTTTACGATGCATTTTCCATTATTGAGAGTTTTCAAGCTGACCAGAACTTAAATTTATTATTTAATCTCCCTGTCTCTTACTCTTTTTCTTTTGATTTATTCATTATGAAATGCTTTTGATAACCAACCATTATCATATCTTGAACGCGATATGGCAAAGAGTTCCGTTGCTTTCTTTCTCTGTTTGTGAGTTTGAACTGCATAAATTATGAGCTCCCGCTCTTTTTTGATTCCCAAATTAATTGGCGGATTGTCACACACTTGGGGAATAAATTTAAAAATTCTATTTGGCCCGAAACTTGTTTGCTGACAACTCTTTTTGCCATTTGCATATGAATTTTGTGTGCCTTTTGTGCCTAATTGGCCGACAAGTCGCCATTTGGATGAGTGCTTTTGGCACAACGAACTCCGCTCTTTCCACAAAATTAATTTCCTAAGCCACGATCCTTTGGAAGTATTAAATTTACATCAATTTTTACACTATTCAACACACCCAATTAAGTGCAATTTGTGGTTGGGGCATTGTTGTTGCTCTGGGGCATTCGTAATGAGGCGCACTCATCTTGGTTATTTCTCCTCGTGGAAACCGGATTGTTAGCTAAACATTTTTTACATTTTTTTGCCTTTGCCTACTAATGAGCGACGTCTATTAGAATTACTCATGGCTGGCCATAAATATCGATTAAGGGGCGGTTTTTCAATCAATTTAAACGCTGTCTGGGTGTGAGGGGCGGGAAAGGGATGGGGAGGTGGTAATGAGACAGGCGCCCAACAAAAATGTGAGGGTCAAGGGCAAAGGGTCCTGGAAATTCTTCCTTGGCCGGCTTCGCTTACTAATCCAATTAGAATTATGCCGCCGGCAGGAAAGTCGCCTTTGTAGGTGTTCCTAATTAGATTTTTGTTAGTGAGGCGGTTTCCTATTTTTTTTCTCTGAACAAAAATTAAATTAATAAATCGTCTAGGCATCCAGACATTTTTATTCTAAAAATTAAAAGAAAAAGTTGGGTTTTCTTTTGTGTTATGTAGAAATTGTGCAGCATCTATTTGTATAAAAATCGAGTATTTCTGTATTGTAATATAGTAATCAGTAGTTTATAGTTAATTTTAATCGCGTTCATGGCAAGTGTATTTTCTGTAAATTTGCACCTGATCAGCAAATACTAGCACCTGGTGGAAAACTTGGTTTTACTTTAGCAGTGACTCAAGATCATGTCTGTTACGAAATTAGCAATGTTAACATTAACATTTATTTTAAAAAGTGCTATGTGACCAGCTTGTATTCAGAAAAAAACATTGATAGCTAAGTGTGACCGCGTACCCTCGGTCTAAACGCTGGAACAAACCGATAGACGATAACAAGTAAAAAAAATTCTGCGCGAACGACTCATCAGCGGTTTCTCTTTCCGACGAATTTTATTTTTCCACCTGGTATTAAACTCCGCGACGTGAAAAAATTAGCAATACTAAAGCGCGGAGAAGACGGGAAACTTTTCCAAACGCAGATCGCGGAATTAAGTAGGAAAATGCAAAAGTGCGGCGCCGTGAAGTGGAATTTCCTTGATTGCCGCACGACGTCATCCCCAGTCACACACTCACACGCTCGCACACACAAATAAATAACCAGGTGTGCACGGAGAATTCAAATTCGTTGAGATTGTTGTAAATTATGAAAGCAATTTATCAAGCGGAAACTGGAAATCGAAAGAACTGGAAAAAGGGGGAAGTAAAAGGAGGAAAAACAACAGCAACGATTGAGGAAGAGAGAAAGAGAGAGCGGAAAAGATAAACGCGCCTCGATCAACGAATACACAAAGAGAGCGAAAGAGAGGGAGCGGGAGAACAGCAGAGGTCACATAATTATCTCTTCTGCTGGATATCGTTTTGGTTTTTTGACCTTTAAACTATTCCCTCGAGCATTTCTGTGTAAGTACGCTAATTAAATTACAAGTAAAAGAAGCAAAACGCTTTAATTGCAAGCTCATAATTCACAAAACTAAAAAACGGTCCAAGGCAACAGCAAAACCAACAACAACAAAAGCAACAGCCAGGGTTAAGTGGCAAGTTATAAACCCTAGAAGGATTTCTATTTTAATAGGCATATTTCAAGATTTCATTGTAATATTTTCTTTGTCAATAAACCAACTTAGCTTAGCAAATATTTGTTTAGTTTTTATCGCATAGTTTATAAAAGAAGTATAGTGTTTATCAGGAAAGGACGCCCACAAATTACACACATTCATTCACTGATTTCGCTAAAAACTTTCCGTTATTAGCGTACAATTATTGTTTTTGTTTTTTTTATTTGGCCCGTCATGCGTGCGACAAATATTAAAAAAAAAAGACTCGAGGAAAAGATATATAGTAGATGCCGCAGACATATCCGCCGAGCGACAATCTAAAAATCTACGAAAATAAACACACACGAGCCAGCTGAATGGCCTCCCACCGCCCACTTGTGCGCCCCTGCCACGCCTCGACCATGTTATGGTTTCATTTTCCATTTTTCAAAAACACCACACAAAATAATGACTTTCCTATAATAATTTTGTGGATTTCGGCCTTAATTGTTTGTGTTTTCAGAAAACGTTTGCCATTCGCTAGTGCACTGAGAGAAATCTCTTATGTTTTTCATATGATGGTGATAAAATACTTATTTAAATGGACACAGTTATAACAATTAGCACGTCTGGTTTATGATTAATTATCTCTTTTTCGTGATTGTTGTGTTTTTTTTTTACCAAACTGTAAATATTTGCGATAATAATAAGCTTTTGAGAACTTCTACTAAGATAAAACTGATATGATTGGCATAATTTTTGTGAGGAAATAGTTTATAGGTTTTTTCTCAGTTCAATTGTTCGTTTATTTATGCATTTGGACGTGTCTGCCGGTATTTAGGATTCCCATATGCAAACAATCAAAATTACGGTTCGTCTGTCTAGTTACCTGTTTTTGGATGCAATTCGGAATTTCAAGTGATTGCATACGATTTCACGCAAATTCGATTTCCCTCTGTATATCCAAGCACTTACAGTTTTGCAGTCCGCAGTTTTAAAGTGACCATGGGCTAATTACTTTTGCCTTCTGGCAGTTGTTGTTTTCTATTGTTGTTGCTTTAGCTGTAGTCGCTCTTCATTTGGGTAAACAAAAGATAAGCAACAGGTGCTCAAGAGTCTCGAGTTGCTACATTGAGAGCGGTACATAACATAACTACGAAATATGTACGATGTATGCGAACGTGACAATTGTTGCCCCTGGCTTAATCGATTACTCACCCACTCAAGCCCATTTACTCATCCACACACAAACAGTCATACAAACACACCCATTTATCGAGCTGCAATTGAATGCCTTTTGTAATGTTTGAGCGGCACTGCAATAAGTGGTTTTCTCCTCCGTAGAGAGCGGAAATCCCCTGAGGGAAATGGACACCCGTGTCGAACTGGAACTGGAGCCGGTTGGCAAACAGGATAAACTAAATGACCATGACCAGCAGGAGGATGCACCAGGCTCACAAGATAACCAGCTGGAGCTGGAGAAGAAGAGCCTGCTTACTCCAGTCAAGATCCTTCCTGCTCAAGACGCCAGTCCCGACCTGGAAAGTATGCCCTCAACACCACTTGCGATGAACGTACAGCCAGGTACATCTCGCCAGCTATTCAAAGAAGCTGCCCTGGCCCACGGAGGTCAAGAGACCACTTCTTTGTTGCAGCATGAGCTTAATAACATAGCCGCCACCCAAACTCCGGCCTCGAGACTCAGGAGCGCCAGCTCCACACTAGATGCCAGTATCTCTCGGAATCCCTCTACCACAGGAGGCAAACACGAGAAGAAACTTGGCCACAGGAGAGTGGCAGAGGGTGGCGAGGTGACGTATAAGAAGATTCAGTCCAAGCAGATCATGGGATCCATACAGCTGGGCATCCAACACACGGTGGGCAGCCTAGCCAGCAAGCCCAAAAGGGATTTGCTAATGAACGACTTCTGGGAAATGGAAACCATTTCATTTCCGCCAGATGGCTCCTCCATTACACCTGCCCATCACTATAGCGACTTCCGCTTCAAGGTCTATGCACCTATAGCTTTTCGCTACTTCCGTGATCTGTTCGGTATCGCACCAGATGACTTCCTTATGTCCATGTGTGCATCTCCCCTGAGGGAGCTCTCGAATCCGGGGGCTTCTGGCTCCATATTCTACCTGACAACTGACGACGAGTTCATCATCAAGACAGTGCAGAAGAAGGAATGCGAGTTCCTGCAGAAACTGCTTCCCGGTTACTATATGAACCTCTCGCAGAATCCCCGAACCCTGCTGCCCAAGTTTTTTGGACTCTATTGCTTCCACTACAACTCAAAGAATGTGCGATTGGTGGCCATGAACAACTTGCTGCCGTCGGACGTCAAGATGCACTGCAAGTACGACTTGAAGGGTTCCTCTTTCCGTCGAAAGGCCTCCAAGGCAGAGCGACAGAAGGCAAGTCCCACGTTCAAGGATCTTGACTTTGCCGAGCACCATCCGAACGGCATATTCCTGGAGACGGACAAGTACAATGCACTGATGAGCACCATTAGGCGGGACTGCATGGTGCTGGAGAGCTTTCAGATCATGGACTACTCCCTGCTGGTGGGTATTCATAACCTCGACCTGGCCGCCAAGGAGAAGCGTGAGGAGCGGATCTTGAATGCGCGAGCCAAGTTGCAGCGGAAGGAGAGTGCCGCTCAGGGCCCTCCATCCCTGAACACCGATGATGATGCTCCGGAGGCGGATCAGAATCAGCTCCATGCAGTGGCTTCTTACGCCTCTATTCCTGGAACTTCGGCTGGAGCTGCTCTGAACCGGACTCGCAGTATGAATCGTCAGCGTTTAGTGGCTCACTCCACGGCTCTGGAATCCATTACTGCTGATATGGATGTGCCTCTGGAGGAGGATGAAGACGTGCCTGCTGGCGGAATACCGGCTCGGTCTGAAAACGATGAAAGGTTGATCCTGTACATTGGCATTATTGACATCTTGCAGTCGTACCGCTTGGAAAAGAAGCTGGAGCACACCTTTAAGAGCATCCTGTACAACGGAGACACGGTGTCCGTGTGCCGACCCTCATTCTATGCCAAGCGTTTCCAGGACGCCATGGGCAAGCAAGTTTTCAAAAAGACGCCCACATTTCCACTGAAACATTCCCCCTCCAAACGCAAGACATCGACCACCCAGCTGCGTTCGCCCGCCACTCGTCTTGCGCCGTTGAGCACCCCAACAGGTGGCCGTCAGCCGGTTCTGACGCTCTCCGGGATGTCGACTCCACCGCCGGCCTTCGATGACATATCCGAGGAGGACATAACCGCCGCCTCCACCAACACGCTCCAACAACTAAGGAATAGCAGCCAAACGAACAACAACCAGGGTGAGGTGGAGGTGGTCACCAGGGGAGTGAGCAGCATTACGGGAGGCAGCGGGGAACCCAGCAGCACCTATCTCAACCAGTACTCATACGATGGATCCGGGCGGACTGGAAGCGCCCTGACCAGTGACTACAGCGACGACGAGTCCACGGGAACGGATGTGAGTTCTCGGTTGCCGAAGCTTCGCACCCACCGGCTCACCAAGACGAGTGTTCAGGTCACGACGGTTGGTTACGTGGAGGGGGTCGACCATCCGTCGTCGGGCGGGCAGGTGCACGCAGATGTCAACGGCAAGGCCTCCATGACGACCACCACCATGCTGACGACCACAAAGACGGCCCACATACAGGCGCCCAGCTACACGTCCACGCTCGTGCTCAACGATTTGCCGCGTTGATGTTCTGAGCGGGATTCGGCGGGATATAAAGTTATCCGGGAAAGGGATGTATATAGTCTGATGTGTATGTGTGTCTGCAAGGTGAAAGCGCCACTCCCCCTCCCGAAAAAAAGAAATGTTGAAAACGGAGCTCGTTTATCTTGATTAAACACAAAAACCAAAAACGAATACGTATTCGATATTAAAATTTATGTGGCGCCCGTGCTAATTGACTGCCAAACCAGACACGCCCCTCTCACACACACACATACATACTCAGCTAGGGGATTCCCCGTGCCTATTAAAATTTGTAATTATTATTTCGCTTTTCTTTGGTTATAATTTTTGCGTGTGGCCTCAACTGAAGTTTGTTTTAATTTTTATAATTTTTGCGCTCAAGGAACTAACTACTCAATGGAAATTGGGAAACGTAGTTAAAGAAAAGACGATTGGAAACTCAGTTATTGTCTATATGTGTATGTTGCTGTATTATAAAGTGCGTTTACGTATTCTAAGATGCTCATGTAAATAAAGGAACGAGAATAAATACTTATATCGATTGGAATTTTTACCCATACGGACGAGTGTCCTTGGGGGATTCACAGGCGCTGACACTTATTGGAGCTCTGCCTGCGGCTGACCATAAATCACTTAATGATTTTCAATGTTGCTATTAAGTGCCGTTAATTTTTATCGCCTTGCTGCATTGTTAAGCCTCTTTCAGCCAGCCAGGCCGAATGGTGCCATATTTATTGTCCAACCGAAAGGATTTTGCCCAGGACTCAGTCCGGTGTTCACGATTTAAATGGGGTATGGCCGATGGCAGAGCTCTCCATTAATTAGCCCGTGTCCTAGGGACAGTGGTTTTAATTTGTGTACCCTGTAATTCAGGATTTCAATGGGGGTATAATGTGTATCCAAAGGGGTTTTACAGTGGGTTGTTAAAGGTACAATTAATGGAATTTAAGCACCCAACTTTCATTTCGAAAGTAACAACAAAAGTCAGTTAATTGATCTATTAGATCAAAGACTTTAAAGTTGTTTACTAAAATATTCATCAAATAATACCCAATTGATATAGGGTGTGCACGGATTTCAACCTGTAACGGAGTGTAAGCATAAAAATCCCCTCGTCGATACGCATAACCATAAAGTAGAGGAGAAAAAAAGGATATTTTTATGAAAGGCGTTAGAAACATTAAAAATTGCATATTAAACTGCGAATGAGCCGCAAATATTTGTCGGTTTTTATAGGCATGCATTTTGTACTAATTGAATATAATTTTAATTAATTGCTTAATGAATTCAATAAATATGTGTGTGGCGAAGTGTGAGTGTTAATATGTGCGAAAGTATTGGAATAAAAATATTTCTTCATTTGTTTATTTCATTTTGTTTACTTGAAACGAGCACTTTGTCAATATTTGCCCAGCAGGGGAAAGAGTTGCTATGTCAGTTGACCAAATGCCATTTGACCATTTGGGCGGGGGTGGGGGCTAGCCAGAAAAAGGGTGAGAGGTCAGAGTTCACTGGGCATGCATAACTGGAAAATAAACTTTCCCACTCATGCATAACGCAAATAGTTGCCACCAACAAGTGCACTCCCCCTTTTGCTGAATGGTATATTATGTAATTATGGCGAAAACAACAAAGTTTAATAAATATGTAAACTGCAAAGTGCAAAAACCACGCAAAATTAAACAAAATAAAACACGAGTTCGGTTTGCGATGTCACACGAAAATTGTTTTGCAGCATAATTAGTTTATTCCATTTGCATAATAGAGCCCCGATGCCGCACACCAAAATGTTTTTGTTCATTCTCAGACGCAACTCCTGTGCCCCCTGAAAATTATTTGCATTTCCAGTAACATCGGGCAGGTGGTTCCGCCCCTTCTTTATGCCTGTAACTCAACAGATTTGGTCTGTGAAATCTGCATAAATGCCCACAATTTGGGGCATTCACATCAATTATTTAGAAATTATTGCACACTAATGTACACTGGGCCATATGCCAAATGTCATTTTGATGGCCCCGAAAACTTGGCGTTCCTTAAATTCCCCTATAAGCGAAATTTTAAAGTCAAAACAGTCCTGGTTCGGCAAGGTCAGAGGTGTGGAGCTGGGTAAACATTTCATTGATTAAAATAATGATTTGTATCGCTGGGCGGAAATTTAATTTTTTCGTAACGGATATTAAGCCAATGTTCAGGCATGTGTGTGCAGTTCCCCTCGGCAGCTCTTTCCGCCCCTCGAATGGGGCGAATGACCCCTGAATAACCCGGGCGAATGGAAATGGGAATGTCCGAGTATTGGCAATGAATCCAGTCCAGCCAAGCGGCAATTGCATTAAATTTAATGAATTTAAGCCTGTTAAACGAATGAGTCCAATTTATTTAAATGATGGACACTACTGATTGCCCGTCTCTGTTTCTCCATTTCAGGCATGTCCTTTCAGCGCAGCTACAGCAAGGTCTGGTGGGGATCCGAGCAGTCCTCCCTGACCAGCGGCGGCTTCTATTCGAGCTTCAACAGTGGTAGCAGCAGTGGCACCACCTCCAACTTTACCCACAGACAGCCCACCTCCCTCGGCCCTCTGGGCAATCTATCCTGCATCCAGGAGGTGGAGGACGAGCAGAACACCTCAAAGCTATCCTGGCACAAGCATGATAGTCCCGGCAGTCTGCGCAGTCAGGTGAGCATATCATTGGGCGCCCATTTGGTATCGAACCCAGGAGGGGTATTATTTATAAAGGAGATGCATAGATCAAGTTAGCTGGAGGTTAAAAGAAGTTCTGGACAGTGGTTTCTTGCTTTAATTGAATTAAATTATCTTAAAGATATCCATTTTTATACTAGCATTCCTTACCATATTCGAGTTCAATGCGCTAATGGTCTTGTTTTCTCTTTGGGTTATCTGCAGGATTCTGGCTTCTCTGACAATGAGGAATCGCATCAGCTGCACCATCAGCAACAGTCAGCCCCACAGTCGCCGCAATCGGATAAGCAGCAAACGCCCGCGGCCACACCCACCTCCGTGCATTCGGTGGCGACGCCCCCAACTGTGGTGCGCCGTGTGGGCAACTCCTCGTTTTACTCACCGCTGATCAGTGTTACCCGGCGAATTTCCTTTTCCAGCGGCCAAATTACGCCCAAAGCTAAATCTGGAGAGAATGAAGATATAGCGGACGAGGAGCTGGAGGCTAGTCGCAGTCGTCTTTTCGAGCAGCTGGACAGCATGAAACTGGACGATGAGGCGGCAGAGGCCGAGGAGGATTCACCTCCACGTCCGGCCATAAGGCGCCGCAGGCGACTGATGCGTAAAACCAAACCGGATCCGGAAGAGGCTTCGGCTAGCGAGGAGGAGATGGCCACAGTTTTGCCGCCGCCACCGCCGTACAATAATGAAACTGTGTACTTAGGGGAGGCACCACCGCCGTACAACAACGAAACAGTGACTTTTGGATCCACCGAACAGGATGAGACCAACCAGTTGCAACCTTCTCCCTTGAGAGTAAGAGCCTTGCGATTCACAGCTAGTACCAGTACACCAAAGAGTGGTTCAAAGATAGCCAAGAAGGGAAAGAAGCACCCGGAACCGGTAGTAAGTTGGATGGCGGAACAGCGATGGGCCGGCGAACCAGAGGTGATGTGCACCCTGCAGCACAAGTCCATTGCCCAGGAGGCGTACAAGAACTACACCATTACCACCAGTGCTGTCTGCAAGTTGGTCAGGCAACTGCAACAACAGGCTCTATCGCTCCAAGTCCATTTCGAGCGTAGTGAGAGGGTTCTCAGCGGACTGCAGGCCAGTTCGTTGCCGGAAGCTCTTGCCGGGGCCACTCAGTTGCTGTCCCACCTGGACGACTTCACCTCGACTCTTGAGCGCAGGGGAATATTCTTCAATGATGCCAAAATCGAAAGGAGGCGCTATGAGCAACACTTGGAGCAAATCCGTACAGTGAGTAAGGATACTAGGTACTCCCTGGAGCGACAGCACTATATCAATCTCGAATCCCTGCTGGATGATGTGCAACTCCTGAAGAGGCACACTTTGATCACGTTGCGACTAATCTTTGAGAGATTAGTTCGTGTTTTGGTGGTCAGCATCGAGCAGAGTCAGTGCGATCTGCTGCTGAGGGCTAATATCAATATGGTAGCTACTTTGATGAACATCGACTACGACGGATTTGCCTCCTTGTCCGATGCCTTCATCCAGAACGAGGCAGTGCGAACGTTGCTAGTAGTGGTCTTAGATCACAAACAGAGTTCCGTGAGGGCTCTGGCACTCCGGGCTCTGGCCACCCTGTGCTGTGCCCCACAAGCCATCAATCAACTGGGCAGTTGTGGAGGCATCGAGATTGTGAGGGATATCCTTCAGGTGGAATGCGCTGGGGAGAGAGGAGCCATCGAGCGGAGGGAGGCCGTATCGCTACTGGCCCAGATCACTGCCGCCTGGCATGGTCCGGAGCATAGAGTTCCGGGTTTGCGGGACTGCTCCGAGAGTTTGGTAGCAGGACTAGCCGCTCTCTTAGGACCAGAGTGCTGTACGCAAACGTTGCTCCTCTGCGCCGCTGCCCTCAACAACTTGAGCCGGATGGAGGCAACTTCTCACTACTCCATCATGTCCAATGAGGCCATCTTCCGGCTGATTGACACCCTGGAACACCAAACCTGCGGCACCAGTGTCTTTCTCTATGTAAGTATAAAGAAATTGAAATTTAAAGTTGAAAAATAAAACAAGTTATGAATCATTTAGTTAAAGTTAAAAAGGATAAGACCTTAAGATCTTTAACATTTTTAATTTAATAATTTCTACTTTCAATTTATAAAACCCTGAGTATCTTATTTCATCTAAAACACCGCCGTTATATTTTTCCTTTGCTTGAACTTCAGAGGCGAACCTGACCTTGGGTGGGTTCCGCCCGGATCGATTTCCTGCAATTTTTTCGGCAATTTTATTGAAAGCTTCTTCGGGCGCTGGCTCGTAAAATTTATTTGTGCATTTGCAAAGCCATTTTTTCGCAATCTTAGCCACGATTTTTCATTCCCCAATATACATACATACCTACATACCACATACCCCCAAACCCACTTTGAGTTGCTTATTTTTTACTCATCAACATTTTCCCCCTCTGTTTTATTTCATCCGCACAGGAGCAGATCGTTGGGATGCTGCACAACATGTCGCTGAACAAGAAGTGCCACAGCCACTTGGCCAACGGCATCATCATAAATTTCATCACGTCCGTGTACCAAACGGAATTCTACAAGACCTACGGCTCACGTGCGGAGAGCGATGCCCAGCGCCGTACCATCAAAACCATCCTGCACACATTGACGCGACTGGCCAGCGATTCGCCGACCCTTGGAGCGGAGCTCCTGGAGCAGTGGCATCTGCCGGATCTGCTGCGTCAATCCCTGGCCCTCAGGCCCTCCAATCCGCAGCATCAGCACCTGGACAGCAGTTACGGCGGGGATATATCCCAGCTGGCCCGACAACTGCTCGGTGCCCACCAACAGGAACAACAGCTGCTGCTGGCCACTCCCACGCTAACCGGTTCCTTCTCCAGTGGTCACCAAACGCCCGAGGCTCAAACCCAAACCCAGAGCAATTCCAGTGGAATCTCCAGCTCCAGCAGCAAAACCAAGGCCAAGACGTCGTCGTCGTCGTCGTCGCTGCTCAAATTCAATTTAACACGTCAGGAGAGTTTCGTCTAGTTTTCACCACCTGAGGAGAGATGGGGGATATTCCAAGTCCCCATCGGAGTGCACAGAGAAAAATCTATAACCAAGTTATACCAGTTTACTAATAAGTTTTACCATTTCTAGTTTATCTACAAGTCTATATCTATTAATGAATGAAATAAGAAACGTTACAAGGAAAATATGAATATTCTCAAATGTTAAATGCCTAAAATAGTACAAATTTTTGATTTTTCTGATAAAGCTATCAATGCTTGTATATAGTTTAGCTTTTGTGAGCTGTAGGTATTTCCTAATGCTTTATCTGACTAATCAAAAATCCATAACTCTATGTCAAATTTCAGTAATTAGAAACGCCTAACTTTTGACCTATTTTGGGGACATTTTCTCTCCGTGTGAACACGTCCTCCGGCCGGACACAAGCCGGAAACTCAGACGTGCGTCAAGTGTTATTACTTTGTCTAGAATGTTGCGTGACCCGTTTGGACTCGCTCTCCCTCTCGTTTGGACCTCACTATACCATATCCTAGCTGCTGGATGTAAACGAAGTAATTTTTATATTTCCACTCAGGCAAACAAAACAAACTGAGGGGGCGGAGCGGGATGCCAAATAAATAGAAGTACAATTTTTGTTTTGCTATTTTTTGTGTTGCCGAGGCAACTTTTGGTATCCTTGTGTGTTTATAACAAGAATGCTCTTAAAGTGATTTTTCCCTCGGTAGCCAGATTTATTTCTATGTTACATTCAATGCACATGCAAATGCAAATGCAACTTTGACATTTCGCATTCTTATTGTAAATATTTTCCCAAAAAATCCTGAACATAACCCCATACGGCTGGCAATTTAAAAACCAAAAACTCGGAAAATTCCTTAGCTGTAGGAGTCCTTTGTGCCAAATAAAATGAGAAAAGAAATTCAAACGATTTATTTGTTTAGTACTTAAAGCAATCGCATTGCATAACATTGTATTATATATATGATAGATATGAATGTATTTACGCTTTCCACAACTGCTTGGAGCTACGTTTAAGTTTATTTTAAGATTATTAAATTAGACATTGCTTACATGGCAATTCTGTCGCTGGAATAAACCTTCTTATGTTTAAACAAAGACTGTCTTTTACATTGAATACATTTCTCGGCATTAATTAATCGAGGTGACATTAAATAGTGGTAAAGGCATTGTTTGTCGATATTAACTTTTGGGTAATGAAAAATAATTGCCATTCACTTTGAGGGTATTGTTTAATAGCAAATTTGGGGAATGATAATAATCAACCACTGTTCTCTAATTAAATTCTTCAGAAATTCTGTGCAAACGTATTAAATAGTTTAAATTTAATAATATTTAGATTCCCAAGAAAAAGTTGATTGCGATGGACATAGCTGACGAAGCTCAGTTGGGATTGTTTTTGTTAACTTAATTAAAAATATAATTTGATTAAAGGAAAATGAAACTACAAATTTAAATATGAAGTTGGTAAGTCAATAAAATACATAGAAAATAATAAAATAAAATGGTTTGCTAAGACAAACAAACTGATAAATATTTCTTTCTGTACATAAAATCCTGTACCATAATAACAAGGTATTACTCGTATATTCTGCCACCCTGCGTTGTACTCAAAGATGTTAGGTTTTTGTTCCCTGAATGGCTCGGACCATAGTTTTCCCTTTGTTCAGAGCATTAAATGTGTTTTGTAGCAGTAGAACAAGCTTACTTTGGTCAGACATACTTTCACTGTTATCCTTGGCAGGATGTTCCTCAGCTCGCACATTTTCCCCTTCATTCTGCATGTCGGCAAGGGTTCTCCTCTGGCTATTCACCAACATTCTCGGCCAAAATGAAAATATACAAAAGTAAATACTGCACTACTGATCACCATTTTGGCGTGCAAATCCACAGATACCCACAGAAACAGACATTTGCACATTTTATCGAGCATAGAAAATCAGAGCTTAGAGTGTTTTATTTAAAGTGTGAGAATCTATGTGGTACAGTGGATTCGATTTAAATCTGGGTTCTAATGATGTTGTAAACCAATTTGATTTGAGCTAAAGCTAAACAATTTCATGCTTAAGTTATGAATACGATTAAGAGAGTGTGTTAGATGGATTTCCCATCTAGCAAATGTCGTTTTTTCTTTGTGCTTAAAAGCTCTGCTGGACAGATAACAGAATCAATTCATATTTTCGAGCGCATTCCTGATTTAAATATAGGAACCCTAACTATTCGTCACGGGCAGCTGAATGTATGCTATGCGAAATGCTTTGGCCCGGCTCAGATGTCAAAAAGCGTGCTAGCTGTATATCCTGTTGAGTCCTGTCGTTTTATTCGCATCGCTCTCCCTCCTTCCCCGACCTCTTACTTCTGAGCTCCTTGGTTGTCGATATCCGAATCAGGCATAAACAAGTTCTTTAGAGTAGATTGAAGTTTTATAATGCTGGCATATTTTGCATGGCTGAGCCCGGAATGAGAGTAGATGCTATGCCGTTCGTAGATGTGTGTGAGTATATGTTCCCATTGAAGTGACACACACATATGTATAAGCCGGGGGAATCTTGAGTCCTGGCTTCACTAGTGTGTGTTTATGTCGGGTTTGTTTGCGGCATGCGGAATGCCCGGCTCTGATCCAAAGTGTTGCGGCATTTGATGCCTTCTCATATGTGTGTGCTCGTATTATGACAAGTATGGCTGACATTTGCGATGAAAAAAAAGGATCTTGTCCAGAGATGCACACAAGACCCAAGTATTAAAATGGCCAAGAACGAAAACTTTTTGAGTGAATACTCTAATGGCGATGTTAGTCAGGTTTTTATTTATTTTGGAAACTCTTCTGAAACTAAACTTGAAACTCTTTAAACTTTAAGTTATTAAAAGCCTTCCATTTTAATTTAAAGGCTTTTAATTTAACATAAACATTGTTGGATGATCAATTTAAGCTGAATATGAGTTTGATATTATAGTTCCGCGTCTTAAGTATCAGTGGATCATCTCTGGCGTGCTCAGGATATCGACAGACAGTCGGGAACGACCCATTGACCTCGGCTCCAGTCTAACGCTCGTTTATCGTGCCCAGCTTATCTATGTGTGTATTTTGTAGGTGAGTAGCGCTTTGTGGGGTGTGGAAATGTGTGGATGTTGCTGTGGCTGTGGCACAAGCGCTGCTTTCATGATTTTTATAGCATTTGTTGCTGGTGCAGGAAGTGCCTTTAGTGATTTCCGCATGTGGCCGCCTCGGCCCTGTTTACACAGCGAGCATATTGCGGTTGACACATTTTGTGCGTTTATGTTTTTGAAATGTGTTCGCTTTTCCCTCTTTTCTTCTCCGTTTTCCTTTTACCCAGCGACTTTAAAGTGCCCAAGCACCAGCACCAACAGCCATGCAGGAATGAAAATGCTTCAGACAAATGCCATGAAAAATGCATAGCCGGAGGAAAAATATGACGGGGTTGGCCAAGGGAAGGGTAAAACACGTGTGGAAAAGGACGGGAAAGTTGGCAAGTGAAGCGTAAACAAACGATTTCTGACAAAAAAAAAGTAAGGAAGGGAAAACTATGAGCTAAATTGTTTGCGGGCAGGAACTCCCTGAAAATGGGGCGGAGTTGGATTTGGAGTTGGCGAAGTGGGAACTAGTTCTTGTGTCATAATTAGGGCCTTTGCACGTGCTCTGGGCGGCAACGCGGCGATAACAGTTGGCCCGAAACTTTCCTGACTACTATCAACAGCTAAAAGCGTTAAAAGTTGCTAGTTGGGCGAAAGTTGCACCTACGAAGCGCCGCCGGTGCAACAATGATGGTGCAACAACGGCAATCAGCCGGAGAAACTACCTCCCGAGTGTCACAACAATGGCAACACAGCGAATATTAGTTACTCTGACAGAGTCTGGCTGAATCTTTGGGTAAGTGTAAGAGTTTGTCTTAGGATTCTGTCTTCTTAATCGTCAAACTGCTTATAAGTTGTCACAAATATTACATATTTGGGTTTTTGTAAAAAATAAATCAAATAGCTAGTCATACGATAGAAGTTACACGAAGGCAGCCATATCAAAATTACTGGATCTGCTTTTAACCTACTATCTAATTGCATACGAAGTCAATGTTTATTCAGAGCTTAATTCATAATTACTAGTTGTACTTCACCTACACTATTTCATTTTATTTCAGTATTTGACTGAGTAATCATTGGAGTTACGAAAAGCACCTACAAAAAGTAAATTTAAAATGAATTTTTGTTTAAAAAGTAGTTCAAGAGGCAGAGAACGCTTTAAGTTCACTTAAATACTGATGACTCAAAAGGTGCATGCCCTATCTGGTAGATAATAAGGCCTGGGATAAGTTTTTACGGGCACTCCACTTACGGGCTGTAGTTACCATAGGCACTTACTCGAACATCCTCTCCTTAAAACACCCGTGCTGAAGCCAAGGACATGCAGGATGTGAGAACTGCACTTAAATGCAACTCCTGCAATGTTTTCCTTACACTCTCTTGGCTTTTTTTCCTCTGCCAGCTTATCAGAGTTTTGCCGCCGGGCCAAGCAAACACCCGTATACACACACTCACACCATCAAACTCCCACGCACACATGCGAGCTTTTCTCAGGCTTCTGGGACTCCAGTGCAATTAGGATAAAGCGCGAAGGGCGACTTTGAGTGCTGGGCTTTGAGCTCCATTTTGATGCGGCCATAAACGAGTTGTCATTATTAATGCTGCCACGCCCACGGACCATTGAGAGCCATCCTCTTCTCCTCACATTCGCAATAAACCAAAGCATTATTAACTGCCAGGAAAAAGTGGAGAATGGATTGCGTATACGCAGCGTGTCCCACGAGTGAGAACTTTTGCCGCAGGCTGTCGGTCCAAATCCTTCGGCATTATCATGCGATTATTAGCCAATATTTTATTTCGCACCATTTCTTACACCATTCGGTGGCACACACACATTACTTTGGCTCCACTCGGGGCAGAGTCATAAATTTTTATTTGTTGCAGCAAAGGGTTGTAAAGCGTCGCCATTATGCTTGCTATTTTTTGGGTTCGACTGGGTTTTCTTCGATACGTCTTTTCTTTTTTTTTATTTCCATCGCACAGACGTGCACAAGATGCGTCAAAAATTGGTGGGCGGAGGTTTTTTTTTGGCTGGGCGTGGCAGTTTCTGAATTTATGGCCACAAATTGATTGTAAGTGCATAACGCAAACTGGAGAATTTCCGACTGTTTCTGTTTGATTCCTGTTCGAGTGGCAGTGCCAAGTGGCAGCTGCCCGAATGTGAGTATTTCGCCGGCATTGTTTATCCACTCAAAACCACCGAAAGACAGCAGTTAGCAGTTAGCAGGGGGTGGATGGTTGTTATAGGCCGAGCACCCTTGGCTTGGCCACAAAAACAATCAAAACTGTTGACCGCAATTCGCAGCAATTGGTTTTGCCATTCGTTTTGTCAGTTTTTAGCATTGCGGTTAAGTGAGGCGGGGGATCGAATGTGAGGAGGGTTGGGATCGGGAGTTATGTTTGCCACAGTTTGGCAGAGATATGAAACAAGACAGGCAAACAGCTTCATTGTTGCTCAGCTCTCTGTTTATTGTTGTCTTTTTCTGCTCAGCTCTGGTCTCGTTTCGAATTTTTGCAGTTTTCTGTTTTGTTGCTTTTAGTTTTTATCTAGCACCAGCTCAGAAAATGCATATTGAAAATTGTGCAAACAAAAATGGGGAAAATGCAGTCAATTTTCCGTTGTGTTGTGTTGTCTTCGGCTTGCTTGTCATTGGCAAACTGTGTCTGATGTTGCCTTTTGTTTTGCCACATCTGGTTGCAGTAGCTACATCAACATCTCCGAGTATTCCCCCCTCCATCCCCACATTCCTGCCATTGTCCTGCTCTTGGAAAATTGACACATTGAGCGATGAGGTTTGGTTAATGTGGCTAACAGCGGGGAGAGAGGGGCCAAGGGGTGATCAAATAATTGCAAATACTAGCAAAAGATATTAAGTTCCTTGGCACGAAATTGCAGGCATCCACATTTTAGCTTAATTATTTGGGTATGATGAAAGTCTGTCCAGTGACCACACAATGAATTCAATTTGTTGTTTGGATGATATCAGAACGATATCTCAAGA